CCAGGCTGGTCTCGAACTCCTAGCCTCGAGTGATCTGCCAGTCTCGGCCTCCCCAAGTGCTGGGATTACAGGCATGAGCCACCGCGCCCAGCCAAGAGTTGGGTTTTAACAGAAGAGGACCTCGAATGCCGAAGTTTCACAGGGTGGCCAAACCGAACTTGCTGACCTTTGTAAGACCACAGTGTAAAGGTCGGATATCCACCTGAAGAAGGGGTGGGTGCAACTCTCTGGGTGCTGCACACACCATGACCAGCCTGGACATGCATCGCCCCAGCTCCCATCCATTCAACACTGGTTGTCTTTTTGAGGTCCGTTTTGAGAGGGCTTTCAGAGGCCTTTTAAATGAAAAAAACAACAAAAAAAAAGCTGTTCTACAAAGAACCTAATATACATACACTCCTATGTATCAAGATGGCTAGTCCAGAGCAAACATTACATCATGGGCCATGGGGGTTGTCAATTAGCTGCATGCTAAGAATCCTCATATGCTGCTTTGAAAATGCCATAAAAAACGAAGATGCCCTCACACACAGAAAGAGGAGCTGGGTCAACAGCCTATGAGAGACGATCCTTCCCAACTCTGCCATTCTGTCTCACTGGAGGGTTTGTAATGTTTCCCTTCCTCAGGTCCAGCGACTGTACCTCTGCTGGAGTGGGCGACACTTCCATTGCTGATGGAAGCTGACTACTGCTTTAAAAACACACACATGAGCTGAGAAGTTCTGCTGAAGGTGGGGACAGTGCTGCTCTTGGCTGCCAGCCGGGTCTAGTGGCCCTAACAAGGAAAACTGGCTGATATAAAATGGATCACTGCCTGAGATATATGAACTGGACTGAGGATAGAAGTTGCATCCACTGGGCAAAATGTGCCAAAGAACAGAAAGTACTTTCAATTTATTCTTTTAGGCACCAAGAATAAATAAATCCTAAGAAAACTTACGGTAAGCTTGACATAACCAAACTCAGGCTAAAGGAGACACAAGAGGATGAACACCCTAAGCTTGCAGCCAGGTTTGTCAGTTTTAACACACATCTCACCCAATTCTGCAAGAAGTTTAAAAAGTTAACACAGCGAACAATTCAACTTAAAAAACACTCAGAAGTACTATCATTACACCCCTTCCCTCAACGCCATCTCAAATTTTAGGGATAAGTTT